CCCCCCCAGCACTGACCCCTGTCTCCGTCCCCCCAGGCGAGAAGCCCTACGAATGTGCCACCTGCGAGAAGCGCTTCTCCCATTCGGGCTCCTACAGCTCCCACCTCAGCTCCCGCCGCTGCCTCCTGCCCGCCCCCGACGCCCCGGCCCCATGGCAGAGCCGCCCATGTGCTGCCAGGCCCCGGGGGGGCCACGGCAGAGACCTCCGCTCCCCACACAGCCCCGGCCCGGCTTGGCCCCTTCTGGGCCCCCCTGACCTGGGAATGGAGGGACCCAGAGATGCCAATGTGCCAGGGCCTGGCCCTGACCGGGGCCCCCCCGAGACCCCCACCATGGAGCAGCCCTTGGACCTGTCTCTGCCCAAGCCAGGCAAGGAGACGGAGCCCGGCCTGGTGCCCTCGGAGGAGCCCCCGAGCCGGCTGCCCTACGAACCCCTCTACCTGCCCACCTCCCTCTGCACCCTCTTCCCAGCCTTCCTGCCCAGCACCCTCAGCCATCTCCTCCCGCACGGGGCCCCTCGGCTGCACGGGAACCCGGAGCTGCCGGCCCCCCAGTTCCTGCCCTTTCTGCTCTATCCGTACGGGGTGGAGTCGGAGCCAGCCCTGCCCATGGGCCACAGGGAGCAACACGGGCCTCTGGTGAGAAACTGCCCTGGGAAAGCGGGGCTGCGGGTTGGGAGTGAGGGGCACCGGCAGGGCTGGGGGTGGGACGCCCAGGGCTGGGCTAGCAGGGGCTGCGGGTCGGGAGTGAGGGGCACTGGCGGAGCTGGGGGTGGGGCGCCCAGGGCTGGGCTAGCAGGGGCTGCGGGTCAGGAGTGAGGGGCACCGGCAGGGCTGGGGGTGGGGCGCCCAGGGCTGGGCTAGCAGGGTCTGCGGGTCAGGAGTGAGGGGCACCGGCAGAGCTGGGGGGTGTTGCATTCCCTGGTTTGGCCCATGCCGGCCATGGGGGTGCTACGGAGCTCCCAGCCTCGGCCCCGCTGATAGCCCCGTTCCCGCCCCAGGGAGCCGGCGGGGCCAGGTGGCGCCCCCTGCAGGTGGGCGGGGAGCCGGGGGGCGCCCGGAGGCGGTTACGCAGGACCCCCGACGGGCTGTATATCTGCGAGCTCTGCCCCAAAACCTTCCAGAAGAGCAGCTCCCTCCTGCGGCACCAGTACGAGCACACGGGTGAGCTGGGGGGGCCAGCGGGGGGGAGATGGGGGTCCTGACTGGTGGGGGTAGTAGGGAGGATCCTGGGGACAGGGAGACGGGGGGGAGGGAGCCCAGCGGGGAAGGCGGGGAGAGCCCAGCAGGGGGGGACCTGGCATTGGGGAGACGGGGGGATCCCAGGGGGGGGGACCTGGCATTGGGGAGATGGGGGGGATCCCAGCGGGGGGCCGGGGGTTCCCCGCACTGACGTCCCCGTCCCCGCAGGGAGGCGCCCGCACCGCTGCCCGCTCTGCCCCAAGGCCTTCAAGCACAAGCACCACCTGGCGGAACACGCCCGGCTGCACTCCGGGGAGCGCCCGTTCCAGTGCGCCCGCTGCGCCCGCCGCTTCTCCCACTCCGGCTCCTACTCGCAGCACGTCAACCACCGGCAGGGCTGCTGCCGGGCCTGGGGCGCCCCTGCCCCCCGCGGGGAGACCCTGGCCCCTGCCCCCCACGGGGAGACCCCGGCCCCCCATGGGGAGACCCCCACCCCCCACGGGGAGACCTTGGCCCCCGCCCCCCGCGGGGAGACCCCGGCCCCTCAAGGGGGAGACCCTGGCCCCCTGTCACCAGGGCGACACCCCAGCTCCCTCCCCCCACAGGGAGACCCCGGACCCCACCCCCTGTCACCAGGGCAACACCCCGGCCCCCATCCCTCACAGGCAGATCCTGGCCCCCACCCACTGTCACCAGGGTGACACCCTGGCTGCCTCCCCCACAGGGAGATCCTGGACCCCGTCCCCCACAGCCAGACCCCGACCCCCCCCGGGAGATCCCGGCCCCCCACCGCCACCCCCCCGCCCCCCCCCCCCCCCAGAGAGCCCCCGGCCCCTGCCCCACCCCCTGTCACCAGGGTGACACCCCAGCCCCCACGGGAGACCCCAGGCACTGCCCACGGTCTCCTGGGCGACACCTCAGCCCCCAGGGAGAGACCCTCCCCCCCACCCCAGTAGGGAGACCCCACCCCAGCCTACTGAGGGCACCAGGACCTCAGGGAGACCCCACCCCCCATCTGCCCCCACTGGGCCTAGGACCTGGGGCTCGGGCCCAGGGAGACGCTGCCCCCCACCTCCTGCGACTCCCCCGTGCGTCTGGAGGGGGGGTGGGCCACATGCCAGGGCTCAGGGCCCCACCCTCAGGCCAGGCCCCCCAGCTGTGGCTCCCTCCCCTGCCGCCCATGGCGATGGCCCTGCCACTGCTGGGTGGGCACCACGGGCACCCGCCCCAGAGCCCGCAGTTAATGGTGCGCAGCAGAGCCTGAGCAGCAACGTTTTCCTGCCCCCCCGGTGCCCTCGCATCCAGGCACCAGTGCGAGTCCTGCCCCCCCGCCCCCGGGGCACCACCAAGGGAGATTCGCTCTGTGGCCCACGAGGATCCTGGCAGCGCGTGGCACAACCTCTGGGGGGGGGGGGTGTTCTGATTGTAAACTGGTCAGAGAAATCAATCAATAAATAACCATCCCCCCTCGGCATGGCTGGGTCCTGCGCGGAGCGGGGCCGATGCCCGCAGGACAGTGGGGAGAGGGGCGGGGGGCACTTAGCGCGGGGGGCAATGGGGTTGGTGCCCCCAAGGGACTCCTGGCTTCTCTCCTCAGGGAGGGGAGGGGGGAGCAGTGGGTTAGAGGGGAAGCGATTGGGGGGAGGGACTAGCAGCTTAACCACCTCCCCAGCCCCTTGGGACCCCCCACCTCCACGTCACCGTAACTGGGGTGATCCCCTCCCCCGCGGTGAATCACAGCACAGAGACGGGGGGCTCCCTGGGCAGACGGCCATTTACTGCCCGGCCCCGGGCTCGAGAGTCCAGACAGACGGTGCCCTGGGCACGCACAGACGCGGAAGGGCAGAGGGCGCCGGGCACAGGCTGGCTCAGAGGGGCGGGGAATGGGGCACGGGGTCTTTCCCCTCTAGGGGCACCGGTGCCCATGCAGCTGCCCTGAGTAGGGCCCAAGGGAGGGTCTCCATTGTCCAAAGCCCGGGGGTGGGACGGGGCCCCAGGGCCATTGTCCTTGGCTGGCGCTGAGTCCAGTCTGTTCCAGGTGGCGGCCCTGGTCCTGGCAGGGGTTCAGTGCCCGGGCGCTGCCGGGGGCTCAGTTGGCGCCGGGGGCCGGGAAGATGCGCTGGAACTCGGAGAGCAGCAGCTCCACAGCCTGGTTCTGGTGGACCATGTCCACGGCCATGCTGGCCAGCTCCTTCTCCGGCCGCAGCAGCGTGGGGCCGAAGACGATGCCGATGTTCTGCCGGGTCATGCGGTTAGCGTCGGCGTGCTCCATCACCCTGGGGGGCGGCAGAGAGGGGCCTCGAGCCTGACCCGCTGCCCCCCCACGGCCACCGGGGCCGCCCGATCCCAACCTGCTGCCCCCCACGGCCACTGGGCCCCCCGATCCCAACCCGCTGCCCCCACGGCCACTGGTACCCTCAATTCTGACCCTCTGCCCTCCATGGCCACTGGGGCCCCCCAAACCCAACCTGCAGCCCCCCATGTCCACCGGTGTCCCCCAAAACCCAACCCGCAGCCAACCACAGCCACTGAGGCCCCTCAATCCTTACCCGCAGGCCCCATGTCTCCCAGGGCCCCTCAATCCCGACCCGCAGCCCCCCATGTCTGCTGGAGCCCCTCAATCCTGATCCTCTGCCCCCCATGTCTGCCGGTTTCCTCCAACCCCGACCTGCTGCCCCCCATGTCTGCCGGGACCCCAGCCCCTGGCTCTGTTCCCCCCCCCCCGGATTTCCCAGCCCCCCCTTACTTGCGGAGGTGGGCCAGGATGTAGCGCAGGGTGGCGTAGTTGGGAGGGGGCAGGCTCTGGACCAGCTCGGCCAGGCGCTGCACCCGCTCGCCGTAGGCTGGCAGCTCTGTGGGGAGAAGGATGTGGCTCTGCAGCTGGACGAGATGGGGGCACGGGGGCCCCAGGGCTGCCCCCCACCCCCAGGAGTCTGTGGGCAGTGGCCGCGTAAGGTCGCCTGGGCCCCTGGGGGTTGGGGGGCCCACAAGGGGGAGTGGAGGCACACAGGGCATCAGCCAGCACCCGCCTCCCCTGCCCCTGCCTGGGATTGGGGCGCAGGGCACAGGGGAGACACCATGGTGGGGGGCTGGGCACTGGATAGGCCCTGGGGGGGGAGGAGCTGGGCCCCAGAGAGGCCCCACAGCGGCGGGGGGGCTGGGTACAGGGGAGGCCCTGCGGAGGGGCACGGGGGGGGGCGCTGGGGGGGGCGGCGGGTCCTTACTGACGGCAGCCACGAAGGCGTCGAAGAGGGCGAAGGGCACCAGGGGCTCGGGCAGCTCGCGGAAGAAGAGCTTGAGGGCGCCGGTCACCACGTGGACGTCGTCCCACTCGGGGTCAGCCAGGCTCAGCCGCTCCTCTGGGAGACACGGGCGGGTCAGCCCCGGGGGGGCAGCATGGGGAGCGCGGGGAGCACCACGAGGGGCACAGGGCCGGCCCGGCCGCGCTGGAGTGACCGAGCCAGCCCCATGGGCAGCGAGCGCCCAGGGTGTGGACTACGGGAGCCACTGCACCCCCCTCACCCACTGCACCCCCAGGTCCCCCTCACCCAGTGCCCTCCCAGCCACGGGCACCCCCACGTCGAACACC